AAAATTTAATTTTAATAAGATTAAAAATAAAATTATTATTAAGTAGTTTTAAAATATAAATTTTTTTAAAAAAAAATTATGAAGTAAATGTTTTTATTTTAAAATTAATTTTTTTATTTAATAAATTCTACGTCCCGCTACTAGTGGATGGCCTGCCTGACACGACAACTTTCACCATCACCATACAAACAAGGGAAGCTGCCTTGTAATTTCGTTGCAAACTTTGATAAGATTGAAAGGACGTTGCTAATTTAGTCGTAGCCGCCATTGCAGCTTCTTCGAAGTCTCCATGTATACACATACATCGATGAAATTTTCGAAACTTGAGGTGGCTGCACTCTGAAATATAATTTTCTAAAGGGAGGGGTGCTTTATCGTGCAATTTCTTTTGATATTGGTGTTTGACGACGACGAGTGTGACGGTGATTATGTTTTGATGCGGTGAGGAGAATGCTTGCATTATTGCATAACTATTTTTTTTCTACTTGAGCCAGGCAATGTTCTTGCATGTTCTTCGTCTCCTTTTGTTTTGTTCTTGCCCGTACGAAAACTGGTATTAGTTTCTTAAGATCGTGAGCTTCGGAAACGTCCAGATAACTGCGCTAAGATATTTTAATATCCATCAAATCATTTGAATTTAAGATATCTATCCCCACGACAATGACAGAATAATTTTGAACATCTACGAACAAATAAATTTCTTTTGATAAATATTTATACTTTATTAAATATTATTAGAATAAAATTATATATTTATATTTTTTTATGAAAAGAGAAGATTATATATCACCACAAATATTTGTAATTTTTATTCTTTATTTTAAATATATATATGTATTCAGAATATTTTTATTTTAAAAAATATTTATTTAAATATCAGATAATTCAACCTTCATCAAATAAAATTTTTTACATATACTAACTATAAATTATTATGACTTATCAAATATTAAATATAAGCTACCAACAACTATTTAACAAGAAAGAATAGATAAAATTATTATAATTGACTGATTAATTAATTATTCAATTCAAAAAATTTATTTTTGAATTAATTAGATTTTTTTAAAATACATATTAAATAATATTTATCTAATTTTATTTTTTAAAAATAAAATAGTATTTTCAAAATACATAATACTTGACACGCTTCGTTTAACACATCAGCCGTCAACTAGCAACTAAGAAACGCATTCTCATCAAAATCCTTGCGTTAGCCACTATCTAAACCCTATAATGTTACAAGAACAGGTGTATAATGTTACAAGAAGAACAGGTGTACTTCCATCAGAAAATTAGCTTGCTTGAAGTGTTTGTAGAGTTGAACATGTCCTTTGGCACACGATGTCCAAAGTAACTTAATTTATCAAATGGCCGGACAAGTTCATAGCCCTTTTCGTAAGTAGTCGTCGGTGCGTGTCGTATACGACCAAGCTGAACCTGGTCCAATTCATGTGAAATTAATCGAAACGAGCAACTGGGTTATCTCTGCCGACCTCGAGTATTCTAACCCATGCAGAGGTATCTCTTGGCATCGATGCACAGGTCCATTCTTTTTGAAAACTTGGAAATTAGATAATACATTCATGTCGTCCAAGCATCTGCCGACAAGCTCCAAAAAAAGTTCTGAAAAAAGCTGGAAGGTATCACTAGAAGCCGTGGTCCTTTGCCTTTAATTATGTGTTTCACATTGTAATATCTTTCATTGTCGATACATGTTCAATAAAGAGTAAAGGTGTAACCTTTAAAAAATAATAATAATAATAATATCTTTATTCGGTGTTTAACCTTTATATTTATATCTATTTATTTTTTGAAACCAGATTTCAAAGAGTAACTAATAAGAGAGATTACTGTTTACTCCAAAACATAATAAAATTTCTTTGAAATGCAGCTCTTGTACGAATGAATGAAAAATGTATTATTTTAATTTTTATAAAATTTTATGTTTTAAAAAGCAAATTAGTGTCAGTATATAACGCAACTTGGATCATTTTGTCTCTAATTACTATTTCAATGCCAAATATACCACACAAAAAAAGCAAATTTACCCCAATTATATGCTTAATAAGTTTATTTGATAGATAAAAATAATTATATTATTACACTAAGAAATGAGAGAGGAGATGTTTGGTTGAGCATATCCTAACAACTAAAAATATTTATTTTATTGTTAATGCGTTTGTATTGAAAAATAGAATTTCATAAAAATAATCTTGAAGTTTAACCTTGCCAAACAAAAGTTGAGCGAAGCTTGGTGAAGTTTTTAAATTTATTTTGTCTATTTTATTGATAAATGTTTTGAAGTTAAAATAGATATAATTCGGCTCCTATGATATTTTGTAGGTTTTTTCATATAAAACAACTTCAAAATAGTTTTACGGGGCCAAGAATCCAAAACCCAAGTTTTTAGCTATCTCTGTAATCGGAAAAAAAAAAAAATTCATATAAAACAACTTCAAAATAGTTTTACGGGGCCAAGAATCCAAAACCCAAGTTTTTAGCTATCTCTGTAATCGGGGAAAAAAAAAAAACAGAGTTTCAATTGAAGAGATACATTTCCTTTCTTAAATCAAATGATTGACATTTTTTTTGAATATTTATTTTAACAGCTTTTAGTTTTTTATTCAAAAAATATGATATTAATAAAAAAACATGTTTTTTTATTGTTAAAACAAACAAAAAAATACATTAATAAAAAAAATAAAAATTCACCTAATAAATAGATATTTCATTTTCAAGATTTAAATTGCTGCTTTTCTTAAAAATATCTATTTTAATTTCAATGTAAATAAATAGATAAAATTTGATTTTAAAAAGTAAGAACTACCCCCACAACATCGTGCAAGGAAAAAAAAACTAATAATTTGCTATCATCAATAATAAAATTACCATTGTTAACAGTATTTTTATCACCATCAACAGCAATATAGATGTTGATAGTTATGATGATAATAAATATCCTTAAAAAAGTAAGAATTTTTTTGGAATTTTTTTATTTTAAAAATACTTATTTAGCAAAATATCAAATAAAAATAAAAGATGAAAATAAAATATCAAAGATATTCAACACATCTTTGACTCAAAACAGATTGGGTTGGATGGGGCTGAGGCTAATGCCAGCCCGGCCTCAATTTTTATTTGTTTTTTTGGAATGGAATCAAGCCAGCAAGTCCAACCTGGTCACTGGCCCAAGCCAGTGACCCGGCTGGCTGATCACTCGTGCATCAGGTAATGCACGCTTTGCACCGCAAGGAGGTAGTTAAAATTGCAAAACGGGGGAGAGCGGAAACTTACCTAGTTTGCAGAGACTTTGGGGCGAAGCTCCTGTCTTCAGCTTCCTTCCTGCTCCTTGTTCTTTCTGTCTATCTCAGTGTCTGCCTGGAATTGGAGTTTGATGACGAAGACAATGGCGCAGATGTGTTGATTGGACAAAGCTAACTTCTCTCATCCTCTGTTTCTATCTCTGTTGCATGCTCCTGTTTCTGGTCTGTTGTTCCCGTTTTTCTGTGTGCTGTGTAGCTTCGTTTCCGTCGTCTGGTTTTTCTTTGGTTTGCTCTCCGTACTCTCTGTTTGCCTCAGTTACCGTCCTCCTCCCCTCTGTTTTCAGTTCGCTGGTTCATCCTTTTCTCCCCCTCTGTTTGTGTCTATGTTCTTCGTTCCCGTTCTAGTATTCCTCTGGTTTTCTGCCTCCCTGAAACGGTTTCTGAGGAAGAAGGCAATGAATAGTTTTTTTTCTTCTGAAAACGGCTCCATTTTTCCAATTCAAACGGCTATTTTCGATTTGATCATAGGATGTTCGTTATTTTGTAATCAAGCTCCTGGATAAATTATAATTGTATCTCTAGATTTTATCTCCATTTACAAGAAAGTCCTTATTTGTTTTGCATCATTCAATTTAGTTCTTACTTGGCTCTAAATTTTGATATTTTTTCAATTAAGCCCCTAATTTCATTAATTAAATTAATTTCAAGTTCAATGAAGTCCCTAAATTTTTAATTATTGATCAAATTGACTCTAAACTTTGATATTTTTTCAATTAAACCTCTAATTTTATTAATTAAACTAATTTTAAGTTCAATTAGATCCCTAAACTTTTAATTATTGATCAAATTGACTCTCAAATTTATAATTCAATTCTTATTAATCCTTAAATATTCAATTTATACTGTTTTAACCCAATCTTTGATTTTATTTTATTTAAAAAAACTAAAACTTGGATTATGACAAAAATAATTAAAAAAAACTAGTATTTTCAATCCAAAGTCTGAAAGAATTCAGACTTACCCCAACTCTGGATTGATTTCTTTAAGATTATCGATTTTAGAATTTATTTTAGTTATTTTATATTATATCGACATTTCAATGGTTTGATTTAACTGTTCAATTCCTATTCTTTCTTTTGATACCTCTTTCATCTTTCGATACCTTTTTCATTTTAAATTACAACGTTATATACATGCATAAGACTTGCCTCTCTCTCTCTCTCTCTCTCCATGTATTGTAAAGAAAATGGTTATTATGGACCCATGTTCTCAACTGAGGTTGTGGAAAAATTGTTAATTATACATATAGTCCAAATTACTTATAGATTAAATAAATAAATACAGGATATGCAGATAAAATATACTGTTTTATTGGCATTAATAATAGTGGTAACAATAAATTGAGAAATCCTAACGTCCTCGGGTTATAATTACCAACATTTATAATGAGATACAAATAAAAGGAGAAGACAGGAATATCAAATACAGAAAAAAGATATAAAAAAAAATCTATTAATGTATATTTATATAAAAAAATCCTAACTCCGAGTATGTTTTTTTACTAATTTTTGATAGTTTAGATATATTAATAAAAAAATTAAAATAATATATATATTAATCTATATTTATATAAAAAATATTTTAAAAAAATATTACGTGTTACGATACCAATATGTCCTAACTCCATTGTGATTAGAACTCGTAACTTGAAAATAATCTCTACTCTAAAATAATAAAACGTGAACATTCATATACTGCGTATATATTAATTTTATAAAATAAATCCTCGACAAAATGTCTGCTTTCAAGGAGAATAAAAATAAAAATGAAAGTGGTGGCTAGTTGTTCACAAAACAATCAGAAAGCAACCATCATCATCCTTGCAAATTCCTCGAAACTAACTAGACCATCACCGTCCACATCTGCCTCTCTTATCATTTGTTCAGCCTCTTCCTCCGTCAGTCTCTCTCCCAAATTCATCATCACTTGTCTCAGCTGTAGATTATCAAAACTGTGTGAAAATCTAAATAAATTTTATTAAACAAAATCAATTTTTGTTTATGTATTTTAAAAGTATTTTTTAAAATTATATTTTTTATTTTTTGGTTTAAATTATTTTTTTATGTATTTTAAGATTAGGGAGAAATCAAATGTAGTTTTTTCTTTTACCAAAAATTTTACTATGTAAGAAGAAAGTAAAGATCAAAATAGAGTAAGTTTAGGAATATCCAAAAGGCAGTGGCGATGATCTTCACCTCAGTGGCCGAAATATATCCGTCTTGGTTCCTATCAAAAACTTTGAAAGCTTCTTTTAGTTCCTCAGTAACATTTTCCTGCAAGAATTACATTTACATTAATCCCATATATAGTCTCTGAGAAAACAACGAGCATTCCCATATATATAAAAGCAAACCAACAATGGGTGTGTGTGTATGTGTTTTGTGCTTGTTTGATATCACATTTTTAACTATAGTTAGATATATTTTAAAAATATGTTTATCTTAAAAAAAAATTAATATTTTTTAAATGATTTTAATGTTATAATATTAAAATCATTTAAAAAAATTTCAATATATTTTCAAACAAAAATTACATTCTATCACATTAACAATAACGCATTTTTTTTTTTAATCGTGTTTCAACAATATTATTTTTATATTTTCAATTACCTCCTGCTTTCTCCCCATGACGTTCAAGAATTCTTCAAAATCCAACGTCCCATTTCCGTCAAGATCAACGTCACATATCATGTCTTGAATTTCTTCTTTCGTGGGACGTCTATCCAATGACTGGACAATGGTTGCCAGTTCTTCCATTGTAATGAAACCTACACGTTACAAATGACATTAATATATATATTTTTTTAAAACAACAATATTTTCGAGCTGAACCCCGACTGAAATACGATGAACTCTAGTTATGAGCGCGGTCCAGGGGTCTATATATTCTTGGCATGGATGAATCTTGGAACCAATTGACGACGAGAAATTCCTAACATGGTCTCAATGCATGACTATCTAATAAATAGAACTTCTCATAAAATAAAAGTAATAAAACACAAATAATAAACAGAAATCAAATAAATAATGTGACAACGAGGTTCTCAATTATTGAACAAAAATAAAATACAAGTGTAGAAGGACGCACCATCCGCGTCCTTGTCGATCAAGCAAAAGGCCTCTCGGAACTCAGCAATCTGTTCTTCTGTCAGAGAATTTGCCATCCTTTTTTTTCCTTAGAGATTCAAAACAAAACTCTCTTGTTTGCCGGTAGATGGAAAATATGAGCAACGAGGAAAGAGATTTATATGGAAGCTTGAGCTTTAGGGTTTAGGCATGGAGGCCTCCCAAAGAAGGGTAGAAATTAAAAATTATTCAAGGGGGCAGATTGAAACAGTCATACACGCTTTAGTCGATGATTTCCATTCAAAGGTAGAAAAAATCTAGAATAGAGTCGGAAATCAAAGCTTGAATGGGCGAGATTTCAAAACCCCACTTTCATAATCTACCGGGCGTCTGTGTCTGTGTCTTGACCCTTAAAAATGTCGTCTACGCGGTGACTTTTTTTCGTTTGCACGTGATTTCCCGTGAAACCTTTTGTTCCTTTCAAAATACGACAACATTTAAAATTTAATTAAAATGTTGGAGACTAGTAATTAGTATTTAATAATTTAAATAATTGCTCGCATGAATCTCCGCTGGTGGACCGAGTCGGAACATGTGTACAGAGCAGTCTAAAGTGACTGTGAAAGGATATGGAGTTTAATTATAAGTGAAATATTTTTAAAGATATATTTTTATGCATATCTTATAAATGAAGCATTGTAATATCTTCATTTTTTGTACGTAGAAGAGCAATTCTTGTGCAATTCTCGTTTCATAAGGTATAATTTATAAATATATCTTTTTTATTTTTTTATTAAATAAGAGTTTTAGATTATTATAGAAATAGTTTTTATACTCTAACTGATTCTGTGTGTGTGTATACATATATATATATATAAACACTACTCACGAGTAGGTAGCTCAAGGTTCTCAGTCAATCATAGATTTGCATGTGGGTTGGAATGGAAAATACTAGTGGTAAAATTCTAACGAAAGACATCCTCTTTCTTTTATTAACTCGTTATCACTTTATTATTATCACTTTCAGCTACTAGCTCAATTATATAATCCTGTTTGATATTATAGTATAATACTAGTTTTTATCTACTCATATGATGTTGTATGATAGTTCTTGAAATAGATATTTTTATAGAAAAATCATAATTTAAACTCTTGAAAAAATATATTTTTTATTAAATAAATTATTCTTTTTTATCCATTTTTTTACCAAAACATTATTTTTATTAATAGCTTTTTTTTTCAATTAAAAGTAAGGGTAATTAAAGAATTTTTTTGTAAAAATTAGAATAATTTAAAATAAGAAGGAAAAATGTATCTTTTCAATCCAAACTACATTTTCTTATTAATACATCTTTTTTTTTTATCACAAGCATTATTTTTTAAATTAAAAAACTTCTCATGGTTTACAAAACAAGTTTTAATAGAAAAAGTAAAAATCATGTCTCAATATTTTGTTGCAATTGATAGGAAAAAAAATTATTCTATAATTTTTTTGTAAACCAATTAATTGTTTTTTGAAAAAAACTAGAAAGGAAAAATAAAAACCAAAGGGTTGCATTAAGGAGGTTAGGTGCCTCTACATAGATGATTAGATCTATATACATGACCCTATATAAAGAAGCCCAAGCATGTGTAGGCCTCCAAAACCAAGCCTATACACCTGACTTTTTGGTTTGTTTTTTTTTGTTTTATATATAGAGTAGGTTGTTCATCATGTTTTATTTATAAATAAATAATTAGGTGTGTCGATTACAAAAACATACAATATATTGTTTATTGATAAAAATTCTTGCATTGAAGATGACTGAAAAGTTAAGGTTTTATTTTTTTAATCTTAAAAGCATAATTTTATTTTTATTTTTACTTTAAAACACCTTAAACATCTAAAAAAACTCATTTTTTTTTTATCTCAAGACACTCCTAAATCTGCAAAATAATAATAATAATAAACCAAATAAAAAAAGAATTTGAGCCTCAATCTAGTTTTTCTAACGAGATGAAAGTTCAAAAAACCTTAATGGTACTTTTCTTGTTAAGAAAAATCCAATGACACCAATGTTGAAATTTTTTTTGGTGCTAGAATGTGACTAATTGATCACTTTCTTTTCCCTCCTTTATTTTTCTATGATTTTTTCTCTTGTTTCTAAAAAAATAAGAATTAAACATGCAAAGCTTACAATTAAAACTTAAAATTCTAAAATTAAAGGACTCAAAAATGAGTGTATTGTCATCTTTACCTTCCAATTCAAGCATATTAAAGTTATGCTTGAACAACCAAAATCAATATTCAAATGGATTCAAGAACGTGATGTATGCAAACTTTTAGTTTAATAAAAATGATATGATAAAAGGTATAATCCATGTGTTGAAGTATAGTAAAGAGACACGAAAAGATTCAAAATAAAAATACTTCTATAAAAAGGATAAAAAGAAAAAGAAAAGAACTGAAATTAAAATACAAAAAAAAAAGATGATAAACCTACATTTTTCTAGGGAGGGGAGACAAAAGAAAAGGGTCTCCTAGTGACAATCCTTCTAGTTAATACCAACACATATTACATCAAGAGAAATAGAATACAACAATGCATTTAATGTGATGGCAAAAGGGTTGGCTATTTCACCAGAAGGCGTTGCATGCACCTCCCACGTGATTGCCTGTGAGAAGCACGTACCAAACATTTTTTTGATTGATATATAACAATTCATGTTTAAAAAGACCATATTACCCTTCATTAAACATGTGAAGAGAAACCAATAAATACAAAAAAAAACTCATTTTAAACACCAATAATTGTGTATCTTGTAGTTATGCATGTATGATTGTACAAATTTATAAACAAAAATAGGTACGTAAACTCTCCAAAAAAAACTTTAATGAGTAGAGTAGCAGTATTGGTAAATGAAAATCGTTATTAAAATGTATACGAGTATATAGTAAACACACCTTGCATTTTAGTTGTTTTGGTATGGAATTAATTAATACATAGCTACAATAAATTTAAAACTCCAACCAATCTTTAAACACGTGAACAGAAAGCAGGAAATACAAAAAAAATAAAATTCATTTTAAACATCAATAATTTTGTGTCTTGTAGTTACACACGTGTGATTGTACAAATTTATAAATAAAAATAGGTACGTGAACTTTCCAGGAAAGCTTTAATGAGTAAAGCAGCAATATTTGTAAATGAAAATTGTTGTCTTCTCTGTCCATATAATGTTACGGAACATAAGTCAGAGGTGGAGAACTTTTGGATACTTTTGGATGAAATTACCTTTTTTTTGTATAAATCTAAAGCATTCCTGTTGATTTTTTTATCCTTTTTTAAGAAAAAATTAACATTATAGATTTAATTTTTATTTAACAAGACTAGTTTCAAATTCAATTCTAAAATTTTATCAAGCACATTAAATTATCAAACAAATATAAGAAGAATAAAATATCAACAAATCAAATATCACAAACATCAAATGAAAGGAATGTATTTGAAAAAAAAATTGAATGATAAAAATAAAAAATAAAAGAACAGCATTGTTCATCAATTATTGCATCAACAATGAAATAAAAGAGCATGCAAAATAATACAAAGTGAAAAATTAAACTTTTTATTTTATTTTTTTAGTATTAAATATTAATTGTTATTCATGTGTAATATAAATTAACATATAACAAAGCAAAAATACAACTATAATTGTTAAATTTGGCTTGTCTTTATAGGTTGATTTAAAAAAAACTGGACTTATACCTTGTCTTAACTTTAATTTCTAGTTCAATTGAACATGACATTGATTCTACAAAACTTGTTTTGCATGACTAAGTTTTTAGTGACTTGGTTAACTGGTCTAAAGTTTAGTTAATGTCTTATAAAAAAAAGTATAAGTTCCAAACTTTTAATAAAGATAGTTGAGCCAAATTGATCTGATAACATATGAATTAATCTAATGACCTGATTACCCTTATCTTTCTTGAGGTTGGTTTTTGAATCGAATATAATAAATATGAATTTAGTTGTAATTTATAATAAGAATCATGGATTAACATACAATAAAGACAAAAATACAATTGCCATTTATAATATGAATTGCATTAATAATTCTTTTAATAACAATTTATTAGCTTATGGCTAAATATTGTTAATGTGAATGTTATTCATATAATGGGTGCTAGGTTTTATATGTGTGTGTGTGATTTGCAATAAATCTTTGTATTCTAGGTGTTATTTTGTTTTCTAACCAAATAATAGTAATGGGCTATCTAATCTTGTAGAATTCAAGACACGTTAGATTTTCTTGTGAAAAAGTTAATTTAGAATAACTTAGTTAAATAAACTTTATGAAAAGTGGTAGTTGACATAAACTAGAGATTACATACGCAACTCACATCATAGATTAGAGTTGATTTTTCTTAATAAACTCAAGTGAGGTTTCTATAATGGTATACTAACAAAAAAATTTAAAAAATAAAATTAGGTTACTATAATACTATTCATATGAATAATAAACTATGTTAATGTATTTATTTTTATTATTTGATTACGAGATTCATGTTGTTTTTCATTAGTTACATACGTGAGAGCAATGTTGAGGTCTCAAGTTTGAAACTTGAGGGTATAATTTTTTCTTATAAACGACAAACAACTAGATTAATATATATTTTAATTGCTTGGTTAACAACTCTGTGTTTTAGCTCAATGGTTGAAGTAATGGAAGTAATCTATAATAAGAATCGTATATTAACATACAATAGAGGTAAAAATACAACTAGCATCTACTGAATTGCATTCACAATTCTTTTAACAATAAGCTAGTAGCTCATGACTAAATATTTCTAATGTGAATGTTATTAGTTTTATAAGTTCTAGTTTTCTTATTTGTGACTTGCAATAAATCGTTGAGTGCTAAATGTATTTAGTTTTTCAATCAAAGAATGACAATGGGCCATCTAATTTTGTAGAGTTCAAAACAAATTAGATTTTCTAGTGAAAAACTGAATTCAAAGTAACCTAATCAAATCAACTTCGCGAAAAGTGGTAGTTAACACATACTGGAGATGACATTCTTAACTCACATTATACATAAAAAGTCAAATTTAATAATAAACTAATGTGAGGTTTCTATAATGGTTCATTAACAAAAAACAAACGGAAAAAAGAAAAATGGTTACTATTCGTGTGAACAATAGACCATGTTGATGTATTTTTTTTTTATTGCTTGGTTAACAGATTAATGTTATTGTTCAATGGTTAACATGTGAGAGTAACATTGAGGTCTCGAGTTTGAAACTTGTGGGGACAATATTTTCTTATGAATGATAAATGACTAGGTTAACATATGTTTTTTGTTATTTAATTAACAACTTTATATTGTAGCTCGGTGGTTAACACATTAA